GGGCGGGGGGCGGGTTGGCCCCGGTGCTGGCCCTGCGGCTCCCTGAGCGGCAAAGGGCCCCGTTCCGCCACGCTGTATTGCCCTCAGGCTTTGGTTCCCCCACCCAAGGTTGCCCAAACCCCTAGGATCACCAGCAGGCTGAGGCGTTGGGCCACCGCCATGATGGCGGCCGAGTGTCTCCACAGGGACCGGGCCCTGCTGTGGTCCCGGGAGGTCAGCACGGGCCAAAAGCTGTACGTGTTGCCTGAAGTGGAGCCTCTGCACGGGCAAACCCCCTCAGGCAGCCGCTTACTGTGGCGCGTTGCAAGGTACCAGTGAGTTCGGGCAGGTGCAGGCAGCAGGCCGAGAGCAGGCAGCCCCCAAAACACAATACTCGTATTCCTGTCAACCTGTTTCTCCCTAAGGCCACATTTCCCGGCCGGCCTGCCAAAAATAAACCCATAGCGGGGCCAAGCTGCTGCAGGGTTTGTTCGGCGCTGGGGCTCTGAGCTGTCCCATCGCCCGCTCCTTGCCTCGGAAATCTTCCCCCGTGCAAAACCAGCCGGCTTTGGGGGGAAAAAGGAGGTTTTTTTCCCTTCCTTTTTTCGCTGGAGCTCTGTGGGTGAGGGCCACTCAGCAGCCTGTCACCACTAGATGGCAATCTGTGACCGCGGCGGGGGGCTCCCGGGGTGCGGGGGTGCCCCGGGCACCCAGGGGTGGCATTTTGGGGCAGAGCAGACACATCCCATCGCAGAGGACCAAGGGCAGGGCATCGCCTCTGCTCTTCGCCTCCGCGGCTCCAATTTCCTAAGCTGTGCTGGGGACTTTTGTAGCTGTTAAGAGCTTTTTGAATAACTTTTCAACATTTTTCCTCATAGCATCTTGCGGCGGGGAGTCCCCTGAGTGACCGGTGGTGCCGATAGACGCCACCGGAGGAGACGATGGAAGAGCCGTGTGTTTGTGTGTGTCCCCGACGCTGCAGGTGTGTTAATGCAAGTCACGAGTCGTTAGGGAACAAGCGGGGACGAGCTGACCTCAGAGCTGGAGCAGCAACACGAGCCGGGCGGTGTGTGGTATCTATAAACAGCCGCTCGCCCTGAATGGACACCTCGCTGTTGTTTGTACACACTGGGAGATGGAGCTGGGCCCTCGGGGGGGATTTGGGGGAGCATTTGGGCCCCCAAAAACAAGCCCTTGGGTTTGGCAGCCAGGCTGGGACCGTCGTCCCAGCTCACGCCGCTGCCCAGGGCTTCCCCAAGGGCGATGGGTGCCGGTGGGCGAGGGGAGGAGGATTTGGTGACCTTCCAGGTGGGCCGGCGGCCGAACAGCTGAGGGAATGGCTCAGAAATAGAGCGGAGGGGAAGAAATGAGTCACCCCGGGCTGGAAATAAACGGGGCCGCAGGCGCGGAGGGGAGCCAGGGCGGCTCCTCACCCACATTTTTTATCGGGAAGGAAGAACTGCTCGTGGTACCCCTTACCGAGACACCCCCTGGGGCTGAACCCGCAGCCCTTTTGGGGGAAAAGCATCAAGAAAACATTAAAAAACTGAGGAGGCAGCAGTCAGGCATTCTCAATAATTTATCACAACCTGTATATACAGAGACAAGCTCCGGCGGAGGGTCGGGGAAGGGAACCTCACTCCTCGCTCCCGGCAGGGCTCTCAGCATGCCGGATCTTCCCCATCAACCCTCGCCACCTAAAAACTGCCGGAGCCGCGACTTCCCTCCGGAGTTTCTCCGGTGGGTGACAGGATGCGTCTCTCCATGCTGGCCCCTCGGCACAGGTGTGACCCCGCGGGGGAGCGTTCCCATCCCCTACCCCACGTCCCACCTCCTTTCCAAATTACCCAAATAATTAACGAGGGGGCAGAGGATGGGGGAAAGAGACCCCCCCCCCGACCCCTCAGATCTTGATCTCAGTCCGGAAGGTTTGCTGGACGTGGTCGGCGTGCTTGGCGGGCTGTCGTTGCGCCCGGATGGTCAACGTGCCGTCATCCCCCAGCGAGGACGACACCGACGTGGGGTCCACATCTTCGGGCAGCTGACATTTGTGGGTGAAGGTGTTCATGACAGTGCCATCCGCGGCCAGCTGGGGAAAAAAATGGGTGAAAACGGGCGATTTTTGGGGTGCAGGCGGGACAGGGACGCGTTGTTCCCTGCCCTTGGGTGAGGCTGGCGGTCACGCCTTGTGTGTGGTGTTAATATTTATCTCCCTGCGGGGACGGGCGGGATGCGGGTGGCAGCTGGGGGGGACAAAGGTGCTTTTTTCGGTTCCCACCCCCCCGGGAGAGGGGTGATTACAGAGCATGAGTTTGTTAGGTCTTGTGGGCTTCGCTCCTACGAAATACGGGGCGAAAAGATGAGGAAATGGTGAATGAAGCCCCATCGAGGCTATGGCCGGGGCCGTGAGGGAGTTGGGGGGTCCCCGGTTGAAGATTTTGGGGTGCTCCCCGCTGTGGGGGTGAGCAGGAAAGGGAGGGAGCGCCCACCTTCTCAGCGTGCACCTCGATCTGGTTGTTGGAGGTGGTGACGATGATGTCCTCGGGGGCGAAGTCGCTGACGTCCACCGTGAACTGATAGGTGTTGCCCAGGGTCTTCACCGTGCCGGTGTTGCTGGGCCGAGCTGCCGGAGAGCGGGGTGTCACAGCCGCGGTTCGGTGGGGGTACCCCCCAAAACGCCTCTCCCGCGGCTCCGACTCTTGCCCAAACCCTCTGGGACAAGGATGTCCCAGCCCTAAAAATGGGGTGATCCCCCCCAAAACTCACCTGGGAACCCCAAGGTCTCGCCGCGGGGCCGGACGAAGCTCCCAAAAAGCTCCATGGTGCCGGCAGGCGACGCCGACCGGTGAAAGCTGCGCTCCGAGCGGAAAGCAGCCGAGGATTTCACGTTCATCCACCGCGTCCCCCACCACCTCTGAACCCCAGCTCCCGCCGGGGAGGAAGAGCGAAGCCCCCTTCCTCGTCCTCCTCCCGGCGAAGGCGAAGCGGGACCGGTTATTTCGCGGGGGGGCGGCTTGACGAGCTTTTTAAAGCCTCGTTAAGGCTCCCGGCCGCCTGCCAGACCTCTCGTAAAACGGGCTAAATTTAGGTCTTGCGCCTGAGACGGTGGAAATTTTTCCCCTCTCCAGCCCCCCCCCAACGCCGTGGAATGTGATGCTGGCGTTCCTGCCTATTATTAAGGAATAATAATGATAATTAATTAAAATACTTATTGTTTAATTAACAAAGCGTGAAGGACCTACTGGGGAGAGAAAGGAAACGAAACCATCTAAACCGGGAAGTTTTTAGTGAGTTTAGTCTGGGCAGAGGATGGGACCTGAAGCCTCTCTCCAGAAAGTGCAGCAGGGAGCAATGTTTTTCCACCAGCTCAGCTCCTGCATCCCTCCCTGAGGCGAGCTTGTCCCCGAGGTGAGACCCCGGGACTGGGGCTGCCTGTGGGGCCACCAGGTTCGTCTCTTTCTGGGAGATGCCTCGTGGCTTGCCGTTGAGGCTTTTGTGGGGGGGGGTTCCCCCCCCCCCCCCCCCCCCCCCCCCGCAGGGTGCCTGGAGCGGGTGAAGCGTCAGCTTTTCCGCGTCGGGGAGGATTGGTATTTCCTCTTCATCCTGGGGGTCCTGATGGCCACCATCAGCTTCATGATGGACCTCCTGGTCTCCAGGCTCTACGAGGGTAAACGAGGGGCTCCCCTGGGGGGGCTTCACCCCGTGTTTGGGGGTTCACCAAGGATGGGGAGGGGGTTTGGGGGGGCTTCTCCCCTCCCAATGCTTCTTTTCCAGCTCACCGGTGGCTTTACCGAGAGGTCGGTGACATCTTGGTGCTCAAGTACCTCTCGTGGACCATGTACCCCACGGCGCTGGCGGCCTTCTCCACCGGTTTCTCCCAGAGCATCACCCCGCACTCGGGAGGTGAGCCGGCTGCACCCCGACCTCCCCGGCTCCCCAAAACTCCCCCTGGTAGCAGGGGGGGGACCCCTAAAATTCAGACACTCCCCCCTCCTCCAGGCTCCGGCATCCCGGAGCTGAAGACCATCCTGACGGGCGTGGTGCTGGAGGACTACCTGGCCATCCAAAATTTTGGAGCCAAGGTGGTGGGGTTGACCTGCACCCTGGCGTGCGGCAGCACTGTTTTCCTCGGCAAAGTGGTGAGGGATCCCCCCCCGCCCCGGCTCCCGGCATCACCGCCGGTTTCGGTCGGCGCCAGGGTGGTGGTGGTGGTGGACGCTCAGCGCCGTGCCCCCCTCCCTCGGCACCCAGGGTCCTTTCGTCCACCTCTCCGCCATGGCCGCCGCGTATCTGGGGAAGATGCGGACCTCGGTTACGAGGGAGTACGAGGTGGGGATGCCGCCCCCCACAAAATTAAGGAAGGGGATTCCCCCCCCCAAAAAAATTAGGGGGGATTTTATTTTACACCCCCCCC